CAGCACAGGGCGTGGCGGCCCTCCCCAGTGCAGCCTGCCATCTCCCCACTACCGACAGGCATCTCTGCCCAGCAGATGAATCAGATATGACTATGATTTTGTGGGAATTCGCGTTCGGAGGCAGTGCAGGATGTTCGTTAGATGTCAGGAGTGGCGCCCTCAGTGAAGAGGGAGCTCTAGGCATTTCACTTCTGTTTACCATAGTCTGGGGAGTGATGGACCAGCTCCATTCCTCCTGAGAGGGGGAAGGGTTTGTTGTTGTTGTTTTTGCTCAAGGTCAGAGCTACATCAATAACCCCACAACAGGAGGAGAGTCAGTCCTCTAGGGCAAAGCATCTATTTCTATAGCTGCCACAGGACACAAGTTTGGGCCAGCTTGTAGTCTGTGTGTAACGTGGAAACCGCACAGGAGAACCATTGGAAAAGAGAGTTTTCAGACGGGTGTTTTAGGGCCAACCTCAGCCACCTCCCCTCCATAAGCACAGAGCCCCTGACCTTGTGTCCAGAGCATACCTGAGCTGACCACGCCTGTAATTTACCCCCTTCCAGGCAGGGCCCACTGAGACCCAGGCTTCAGCTGGCAGGCTGGTAACAGTGGAGAGGGAGGCTGCCCCTCCTCCTAAGCCTCTCCCTAGCGAGCTGGCTTAGCCCCTTCCCTGCTTTGCCTCACATGCTCCCTACTGAGTGCCGCCTCCAGGAAACCTACCAGGACCTGTAGTCCTCTGTGTCAAGAACCCGAACTCCTCCAGCTCAACTGATTGCAGAGTACTCACAGAGATGTTTTGACCCTTAAGGCTTGCTTTCTGGGATGCTTCAGCCCATTTAATTTAGTGTTTGTGAAATTTGATATAAACTAGTCAACTGGAGAGTCTTACTTTATTTACTAATTGCATAGCTATGGGTGATCCAGGCTGTCCGCTCCAACTCTAAGGATCTAAATGGCATCTTCATTGAGAGGGTATCTCTGTGCTGACCTACTGTGTGCTCGCGTGCTGTCCCACTGTGTGCTCGCGTGCTGTCCCAACTGTGTGCTCACGTGCTGTCCCACTGTGTGCTCTTGTGTCTTTCTACCTTATAGACTGGTTAGTGGTCTCCCTTCATCACTAAAAAATGCTAGCAGGATATAATGTTTAGTGGAAGGAAGGGAAAATATTTCCAGTTTACATACCTGATAAGGAACTTGTGTCCAGAATGCGTCAGGATACTTTACAAAACAGCAAACAAGAAAAGACAAATACTCCCCCATTGGGAAACTGGCAGGATATTTGAGGTTGATCGTCCATGGAAACATGCCCAGGATCATTAAGTCGATCATCTTCATTAGCCGTTAGAGCCTGGCAAGTCAGAATCATAACACCTCACAGTGCACGTCCTCTAAGATGACAGGCATTAGGAAAAGGGAATAGGCACAGTGACAGTATGGACACAAAGGCTTCTTCCCAGAGACAGGAGTCACGCAGATGTTTACCAACCACATGGTTCAACTGTTCCCTTCCTATAATGATATGTGTCCACACAGAACTTGAATATAAATGCTCATGGCAGGATTAACCATAACAGACAAAAGTAGGCATTAGTTAACACCAGTCAGCTGCTGAACAGATGAGTAAGACATGGCGCACACATACAGACATGCGGTGTTATTCAGTAGCAAAAGGCTCAGGGAACATTGCGGGAGAGGGGACAGAAGGAATGTAAGAGCAGGAGGAAGGGGTGGAGAGCTGTGGACTGCTGAGCTCTGGACATGAGCAACTGTCACACACACTACCCACACTAGGCCTCCACAAGATCAAGAGAGTTAAAAATTCCAGCAGGGAGCAGGGAGGCCCTACACACTCACACACATGCACACTCACACACACTCACACACATGCACACTCACACACACGCATGCACACACACTCACACACATGCACATTCACACACACTCTCACACACACTCACACACATGCACATTCACACACACATGCACTCACACACATGCACACACACTCACACACATGCACATTCACACACATGCACACACACTCACACAATGCACACTCACACACTCACACACACTCACACAATGCACACTCACACACTCACACACATGCACACTCACACACACTCACACACTCACACAATGCACACTCACACACTCACACACGCACACACTCACACACTCACACACACTCACACAATGCACATTCACACACACTCACACACTCACACAATGCACATTCACACACACTCACACACTCACAATGCACATTCACACACTCACACACTCATACAGCACACACATACACACTCACACACGCACACACTCACACACACTCACACACATGCACATTCACACACACATGCACACACACTCACACACATGCACATTCACACACACTCACACACATGCACATTCACACACACATGCACATTCACACACACTCACACACATGCACATTCACACACACACATGTATACACACATGCACATTCACACACTCACACACACTCACACACGCACACACATGCGCACACTCACGCACACTCACATGCACACACTCACACACACTCACACGCACACACTCACACACATTCACACACATGTACACACGCACACACACACGCACACACACACACACACACACACACACACACTTTCCTAAGGAGCCAATGGTAATTGATGGATGTTGAGGGAGGGCTGCCTCTGGTGGGTTTCCCGTGCCCTGGTGGATGGTCCCACCACCATGCACATATGGCAACGCTCACTGAACTTAGTTATGAAAAAGAGAGAGAGACATGAAGTTGGTTGGCTATTGGGGGAGCTGGAAGGAGGGAGTAGAGGGTTTGGATGTGATATAAATATATTGTATATATGTACAAAATAATAGGTACAAAAAATAAAAACAAATACATAAGGCCAGGCATTGGTGGCACACTCCTTTAGTCCCAGCACTTAGGAGGCAGAGAGAGGCAGGTGGATCTCTGTGAGTTAGAGCCCAGCCTGGTCTACACAGTGAGTTCCAGGACAGCCAAGGTTATGCAGAGAAACCCTGTCTTGGAATATAACAATAAATAAGAGCTACTAAAAATAAAGTTTAATACCAAAGAGAACTTAGTACAGTAATGTTCTATATGCTTTGATCAGCAATGGGCCACAGATTCGTGATTGGGTATAGGGACTGAGAAATTCCCACAGCCTGGTTATGTCATAGCTCTGCTGACTTGAGACCCATCACATGATGCAGTCCCAGGATCGTGTAACCATAATAGTAGCTGAAAAACAAAACAAACAAACTAAACACTTCTATCCCTGCTTAGGAGCCCCCAATTTTGTAGCAGGGAAAACACCCCTACTTGCCCATTTAGCGTTGTGGGGTTATTGTCAGTGCCTACCCTTGTCACTCACGGTATTTGGGGCCACTCCTCCTTCTTAGGGTCCCTCCTGTCCCTTTTGCTGACCTCACCGGGGTGCACAAGCTGTAGGATTCCACCTGAGCATAGCTGGCTGCGTGCCCATGTGACCGGGAACTCTTTGATGGAAGAGTCGCCAAGCCTCAGATCTGCCAGAGCATCCTGACGGGCTCTTCAAACCTTACCAAGGCTTTTCAGACCTCTGGCTGCCCAGGTCGAATGGAGCTAGGCCCGCATCAGACTCTCAGCAGGGCTGTTGTGAGGACTAATGCTGTAGCAGAAGCAATCTCCTGACCTCCTAAAAAGACATCGATGGAGCAAAAGATTTTGTTCTGCGTAATTGCTTGTTTTTAGTGGTCATTTATACCACCGTGTGGTGTCTGAGGTGCAGGTGCTTGGGTTCCCATGATGCCCAGGGGTACACCAAATCAACCCGCCGTTCGGAGTTCCTCTGTGGGTGTCAGGTCAAGGACTGGCCTCTCAGAGGCAGGTAAGATGGGTCAGTGGGGGAAGAGGCCAGCTACGCAAGAACGAGGATAGAATTCAGATCTCCAGAACCAACATCAAACTTGGATGTGGTGGTGTGAGTGTCCCTAACCCCAGGGCTGGGGAGGCAGATACAGGAGGGTACCCAGAGCTCATTGGCCAGCCAGTTTAGCCAATCAGTGAGTTCCAGCCTCAAAACAAACAGTAGAGAGAAGCAATGGAATAAGAGACCAATGTGTTTTTTTAAAAAAAAAGTTATTAATTTTTGAGAGATTTATGGAATATATCTTGATCACATTCATCCCAGCTGTTCCGTTTAACTCCTCCCAGGTCTAACCCTGCCTCTAATTTCATATCCTTTTAAAACATATATAATAATTCACCAACCGCAGCTGAGCGCCTGTCTACTTCTGGGCGTGGGATCATCCACTGGGGTGTGGTTGACCTAACGGGCCACACCCGTAAAGAAACGGACTCTCCTTCCACAGAAGCGGTCAGCTGCCCGTAGCTCTTCGGTTGAGCTAGGAACTCAGGAGCCCCTTCCCACTCCCCGCTGGGCTGCTGGCAGCCTTGATGTCACACAAGCCAGCACAGCTTGTGTGAATGCCTCAGAGTGATGCTCCTGCCATGCCCAGAGACACTGTTTGTCCCTGGTCCTCCCTGATTTCTGGTTCTTAAAATCTCCCCTCCACTCTTCCATGACTGCCTCTGAGCCTTGGGGAGAGAGGACACTCAAGGTTGGCCTCTGGTGTCCACATGCAGATTCACAACACACTCACACACACACACACACACGACCTCTCTGGTTTTGTTTATCTATGGCCATGGCTCTCATCCGATGGGTCGGGCGGGACCCCTTTGAGGGCCCATATCAGACATTTACATTATGATTCACAGGAGTAGGAAAATTGCGGTTATGAAGTAGCAATGAAGCAGCTTTATGGGTGGGGTCAGCACAAGAGGAACTGTGGCGGTACTGAGAAAGTCGAAAGCTGCTGTCCTATAGGAAGAGTCTATGAAGCCTGGGCACCTGCAAGGGACGGGCCTGGCGTTCTGGGCTGACAGCCCCAGCCTGGTGTTTTTCTCCACCTCACACCCCCCCTCCCTTCTGGTCTGCAGTGAGATGAGGCAGAGGCTGGCTGAGGAGAACAGCAAGTGTAGCATCCTCTCGAAACACCAGAAGTTCGTGGAACGCTGTTGCATGCGATGCTGCTCACCCTTCACCTTCCTGGTCAACGCCAGGCGCCGCTGCGGGGAATGCAAGTTCAGCGTCTGCAAGAGCTGTTGCTCCTACCAGAAGCACGAGAAGCTCTGGGTATGCTGCGTCTGCCAGCAGGCCAGGTGAGTGGCTGTGCCCTTGGAGGGCTGGGCTGATGGCACCACCGTTTCCTCCTTCCTGCTGGGTGGGACCAGCATTGACAGACAGGTGTGTCCAGATCACCGGTGACAGCCAGGGACTGTGTGAGGGGGATGAGAGGGGCTGCGGGAGAGCACAAGGGAGGCCCTTGGAGTGGAAGGCAGGGCCTCTCCCATGCTCCACCCACCCTTTTAAAGCTCCTCCCCTGGTCTTTCGTTCTTTCCTAAGTGTCCTGGGTTTGTTGTAATTGCACTGTACATCGGAAACACGAACGAACGGTGTGGGTTCCTGATAACTCAGATGCGTAAGGGCACGAGAGAACACGCAAGCATTAGCCTCCACACAGGTTGCCACAGGCAGGTCCCAGCCATCATTTCCATCCACCTTGGGGACACTGAGCATGGGCCACCGAGCAGTGGGGTTTGGAGGAAGCCTCACAGAGGCAGAGAGATGAATACGGAATCGTCAAGGGTAAAACAGTCGGAATGCGCAAGGCTGGGTTGGGATGCTGCCGCCTCGTGAATGGAATGACAAGTTTGCAACTCAGTCTCCCTGGGATGCGTTGAGTATCTGGGAACTGCTGGGTTGATAGCTGCTTTATAAATCTCCTTATTCTGTATCTGTGCACTGCCGTCACCCCTGGCTGCTCTGTAGCCCTGTGTGCCGTGACCGGAACAGGCTGGCTGTGCCTGAGCACACGGACATCTGCCCTTCCTGTCTTGCTTCTCCTCCATCTCTCTGCCGCCTCGTTTAGATTCTTTAACACACGAAATCCTAGCATTTCCCTAGAGAGCTTGTTCATGGGGGTAGTGGCTGAGTGGGTGAGTGGGGTCTCCTAGGAAGCAGGAGATGCCGGCCACGGTGGGAAGTGGTTTGTTCATCAGCCGGTGTCCAGGCTTGGGTGCTTCGGGCCCTGTGCCTTGCATAGCTTGGACCTGTCTCTTTTCCTCATGGAGGCTCCGTAGACAGGAAGAGGCCTAGGACAGAGCGAAGACCCATCATAGCTGACTGCTATGAGCCTGAACAGCTATGTCAGGAACATAGACAAACATGTTTGTGTTTTCCCACAATGTCAGGGTGTATTAACAGGCCCAAGGGCGTGGCAGTTTCAGCCGAATGTGCCTTGCTTGATACCCTCAAATGGACATGGGTTCTTTTGGTCCAATCTCAGTTACTCATATTAACTCTCAGGTCACGCATTACACACACCACACTGTGAATGTATTGTCTGTCTGTCCGTCTGTCTGTCTATCAGTCAGTTGATCTACCTATCATGTATATGTAGCTTACAGAATGGCTGCAAAGGGTTACAGAGGCAAGATGCCTCAGAAAGATCTGGGAACTATTAGGAGTGCATGACAGTCTCGGGAGGTGACAGGGCCAAGCACACAGAGGTCTCTGGAGAGGCTCTGGCTGCTGCTATAGGCTGAAGGGTCCTATCTGAGCTGCAGGCATGAGGTGAAGCAAAAGACAGGACCAGGGCCCGATGAATGAGCAGACAGACAGACGGACACCAGGTCCAGACAGGTGAACAGGAGGACAGGCAGATGGCAGCTGGAGTATTCTGCTACAGCAGAAGGAACAGAGCTGAGCTGAGGCCCCAGAACAGACGAGCATTCTCCACCCGTCACCCTTGAAGCTCGTACCTGGTGGTCAGATGACGGCAGCAAGGCTGTCACTGTCTCATGGTCGGGCGTCCACTGCCGTGCAGGTCCGGGTGGGGGAATTAGATTCTTCAAACGTGTCCACTGAGTTCTCCGGCCAGGTATGGCTGTAATACACCCATGTCACTTACCACTCAGCGCCAGATGGGCGGCCCCTGTCAGGTGGTGCCCACCCCCCTCTATCCTTAAACAGCGTCAAAGCTTCTGGTGAGACAGAGTCTGCCAGAGCAGGGCACGGGCTGAAGAGCCACTGTTTTACACAGCACAGCGTAACTCGGGGCAGCCAGTAGCCTATGCTTGGCCCAGTCTCGTGCTCCTCAGTGAATGCAGGGCCAGGCACCGAGGTTAAGAAGTGTGCAGATCAGGGTGGGGCATGGCTCAGCAGTTAGAGCACCGGCTGCTCTTCCAGAGGACCTGGCTCCAGTTCCCAGTGGCTGGTGCTCTGCACTGGGACGATCCTCCACCCTGAGGATGGTGCTCTGCACTGGGATGGTCCTCCACCCTGGGGTTGATGCTCTGCTTTGGGATGGTCCTCCACCCTGGGGTTGATGCTCTGCACTGGGATGGTCCTCCACCCTGGGGTCGGTGCTCTGCACTGGGATGATCCTCCACCCTGGGGTCGGTGCTCTGCACTGGGATGATCCTCCACCCTGGGGTCGGTGCTCTGCACTGGGATGATCCTCCACCCTGGGGTTGGTGCTCTGCACTGGGATGGTCCTCTGTCCTGAGATTGGAGCCCTACACTGGAATGATCCTCCCCTGCACTTGGGATGGTGCCCCACACACACTGAATGAGGCACTCTGTTCTGGAAACTCATTCTAATAAGTCCCAGTATTGTTCCCTGTTGAGAACACCCTAGGAAGAAAAGCGTGACCTTTAAAGTATGTTTACTAGCTTTGCATGAACTCAATCTGGATTTGAACCCAGAATTAACTACTCATACTGTGTGATTCTAGGAAGGTTACTCCATCTTTCCGAGTTTTGGGAAAACAATACTCACCCGCCTATAACAGAAAAAGGGGAAATGTAAACCTCTTAGCTCTGCCATGGCTGTAATTACTTGCCACTGTTAATTCTGTTGCTGTCTTTCTGGGGTCTCCAAATAGGTATTTTCCTAATAAAATATTAAGCTAGTGTGATTGCTTCTGAGCAGAAGCCATATCCTCCATTTGTGGTATTTCTTTATTTAGCACTGTAAAAATAATTTAGTTTTTATAAAAATCAGTTTACTTCCCAGCACTGGCCTGGGGCAGTTAAGGTACGATGAAGTCAGGGTCACAGATGGAGACGTGGTCTCCAGGGATGGAGGGTAATTAGGACTCAGATCATTGTTGAATAACTTTAATAGTACATTGCTCTATGTTTCAGCATCACCAGGGGGCTGAGCAGTGTGTGGAGGAGACAGTAGCCTTCCAACAAAGCTGGTGAAATTATTTGCTCTGTACCACATTGTGCATTGCGTCTTTCTGCCCCCATAGAATAAGTAGAATTGTCCAGCTAAGTTAGTGCTGTGTAGCTAATATCTTTTCACTTGGCCACAAGGGTTGCTGGGTAACCAGTATGGCCAAGTTGGTGAGCTCCCAGTTTGTAGAGAGACCCTGACTCCTCAGTAAGTAGAGGAGAAAGGAAGGGAAGAAGGGAGAGATGGAGGGAGGGAGGAAGGAAGGAAAGCTAGAGGAAGAGGAAGATATCCATTGTCAGCTTCTGGTTTCCACATGCAAACACACGTTTGCACCTACATATACACATATGAACACAGACACACGTGCACGGAGAAGGTCACCCTTGGCTACACAGTGAAGACCAGACCAGACTGGCCTGGACTCTATCAGTTTAAACAAAAACATGGAAAGAGTTCACGACCTCTCACCCAAATGATGGACTAAACTGCCACATCCTGTGGAAACCCCTAAGTGCTCCCTTCCCACAAGGAGCCGCCATTTTGAAATGGCTCTTGTATTCATTTCTTCCTTCATGCTGTTAGGGTAACTGCAATCTTGTTTTGGTTTAAAACCCTTAAGCAATACGCCTAAAAGTTAACCTCTTTGTAAAACTTGCATCATTAGCCAGGTGGTGGTGGCACACACCTTTAATCCCAGCACTTGGGAGGCAGAGGCAGGTGGATCTCTGTGAGTTCCAGGCTAGCCTGGTCTACAAAGCTACACAGAGAAACCCTGTCTCAAACAAACAAACAAACAAAAACCCTTTGTACTGTGTTCAGTCTATCTATCATCTATCTATCCAACCCTTGTATCATGTTCAGCTTATCTATCATCTATCCACATATATATATATGCATATATTCATCCCTGTCATTTCCCCCCTTGAATCTGTTCCAGCTTGCCATGTTTAATCTATGTTGACATTTGCACTGCTCGCCCATGTTCCCCATGCTCATTGCGTGCCCCATCCTCCTTTGCCGTGTGTGCTCCCATGGGAGAATGCTTCAGTCCCCACACTCTGTAGAAGAGTCGCTGTGTCCCATCCTTGCTAATAATCGATATTAAAGTGTATTTTTGCTGGTGAGTGTGTGTTGTGTGTACATGTGTTTTACGCATGTGGGGCACACGCATATGTGTGTGCCTACGGAAGCCAGAGATGGCACCTGGTGCCCTACTTTGTCACTGTATCCCTTACCCAGCAACGCGGGATCACACACATCTTTAGTCTGGCTAACCAGCTTGCTCTGGGGACCCTGTCCCCACCTCTCAGGTGCTGCTGTCTTTGTGTAGTTCCTGGTGATCCCAGCTCTGATCTGCACACTTACACAGCAAGTGTGCCTGGAATTATTTTTAGTTTTGGAAAATCTCATAGATGTAAGGCTTCTAGTTGCATTCAATGTATAAAACACAAGTCAGAGTTTGATTTGCATTTTGTTTTGTATATGAATTTATACATCATTATATATATGTGTGTGTGTGCACATATATATATATAATCTATCTATACTTATTCTCAGCTATGTATATTTTTCCTTGATAAAGCATATACTTGTAAACTTCATTCATTTGTTTTTTCAGTGACAAGTAGACTTCTCTGTACGTGACAGACATCAGTCCCCAGCCGTGGCCTGTCCCTCCCTTTCATATGCAGTGGCGACTATGACCTTCTAAGGTGTGCTTCCCTCTGTGTCCCTCTGCTCATCTTCCCTGGCCCTGGCAATGCGTAAGGACAACAGGACACGTCCACAGTCCACGTGCGCCTTCTTCTCCATGGTCTAGCCCAAGTGCCTCATGGTTGTCAGGTGAAGGCTGGACCAGCTCCTGTCCAAAATTAGCCAGATGCAGGGATGATGCCATGCGAGACCTCCCCTCCTCCC